CGCTCTCCCGTGTTCATTGTTTCCACCAAAAGAAGAAACGCAACATTAGTTCTTAAAGTTTTGATGGCGTTTAGGCTGACAGCTATGAAGAGAGAGCTGAAGGTGAAGGAGCTACACCTGCTGGACGCAACGAGAAGGCGCTTCATGAAGCACCAACAGGATCTCCAGTTCTCGCAGATACAGAAGCTGGACCAGGAGATCAGCAGGAAGGTAAACTTCTCTCCGTCTGAGTGCACCATGACGTTGAGCTTTATTGTTTAAACCTCGTTCTGCTGCAGATGGATCAGCGGGAGCAAGAGACGGCCGCAGCGGTTCAGGATCTGGAAGTCAGACAGATGGAGCTGGAGGTGCAGAGGAAGCGGCTTGAGCAGGTGACGGGAGCCACTCGGGTCTAATGGGGAACATGAAGCCGTTTACGTCAGGAAACACTTAGATTAATGGTTCTCTGTGTGGTTTGGACCGGTGCTCGAAATCCTTAAAAACACTTGAATTTCAATTGGGTATTTTTACCATTTGGAAAGTGCTCAATTTCTCTGTAAAATCCTTGAAGGAGTGCTTGAGTCCAAACTGCGCAGTTCTGTAATAAACTGCAGTCTAAAGTTTGATTAGAGGCCTTTATTTTATAGTTGAAACCAGATTTTTTCATACAATTGAAGAAAGACAGACAAACTTTTTTTCTCAAGGTCTGGAGTTGGCTCAGACTGAACATTTTTTTATTTTACAGTGATTTGGAATGACCAAAATTAGAAAAATGTGCTAAATACCTGAAAACATAGCAAGAATATATTTTTTTACTTTGGTTTTGAGTATTTATTATTCATAATGACTCAATTACTTGCTGATCTGTGTAACTAAAATACAGATTGGCTTATATTTTATAAAAATTAAAAAAAATTGTTAAATTGGTGTTTTGTTCCTGGACCAGTCAGGTGTATAGGGTGCGTGTTACAGAGACGTTTCAAATCATGAAATGTCATATTTCAGCTTTCCTCCTCAAACCCAGCTCCAGTGGGGTGCTGGGTTTGAAAACTTACTTTGAAAATGCTTGAAAAGTGCTCAATGTCTTACTGGGAATAGCAAACAAACCCTGAAAAAAATTGCTGCTGCTGTAGGACCTGCTGAAGAAGCAGGAGCGCGTCGGACGACAGCTTGAAGAGGAGCTGCGGCTGAAAATGAGAGCTGCAGAGAGAGCAGATGAGACCGGCCCACAGCTGCCGCACGGCGCAGAGAGCAACCTGCAGGTCAGCAGCACACCCCCTTGGAAATTTAGCACCTAACAGTTTTCCAAGGAAAGCACCAAGCAGTCATCATAACTTGGGTTCTGGTCCAAGTTTCTGCAATATTTACCTTCTGTTCATGCGACATAAATTCTCACACAGGCCCTGGAGATGTCGCTGGCAGAGGCGTACCAGCAAAGCCTAGAGGCGGACTGGCAGAGAGAGGTGCTGGGGCGCCTGCAGCAGGTCGAAGCTGAGCAGGAGAGGAAGAGGGATCTGCTGGCAGAGCTTCAAAGAAAAACTCTGGCAGAGGAAGAAAAACTGTCTCACACCGTGAGAGAAGTGGCAGGAAGAAAAGTGAGATTTTATTTTTTTTTGTCAGTGTTTACAGTGTTAGCAGAAACAAATAATACAGGTGTCATTTTATCTCAGACTTCAAAATAGGCTTCGTCTCTGAGAAGTGTGGGATTTGTTCAGTTTTTTTTTTGTTTTTTTTTTACTGTTTTTATTCATGGAGAGTGATTGCTGTGTTCATTTTGCAGTGGGATGAAGTGATGAATAGCAGAGCAGAGTTACAGGAGCAGCGACTGGCCGGGTCCACAGCAGACCCAGGTAACACACCACACACACTTCATAGTAGAGGTGGACATTAATAAATGGTCAAACAGCCTTTAAATTTACCCGAGAAAGTTGCCCGGAAACTGCCTGCGTTTACGAATGTTGATGGGGGGGAAAACTCCACCTTCAAGACACCTCGAGTCAGCAGTAGTTGTCATGTCAGGCCACTAGATGGCGATGTGATGTTCAGGCTTCACCCTTTCATTTTGCTCTGGCTTGTTTCTGCTCAGACTGCTTCCTACCACAAGGTGGCAGTGTCATATCCAGTTGTTTGCTACCACAGAAACGTCCTGTACTGCACAAAATTGATTTAAAAACATTTCTCTCACTGTTGTCATCAACATTAAGAGAAAAAGGCCGGGAGAAACAATAAAGCCGATAATTAAAATGAAGTCGATAGTTTGAATTCATCCTGCGATTAATTGATTTATTGTTTATCGCGACAGGCCTACCTCTTCACAGACCAGGTGCTTCTGTTGCAGCTAAAGGTGTAAATACAGGCAGAGCGAGGAGCTCTGCCGCCACCCAGAGGCAGGAAGGCGCCAGCATGGTGTGTCTGAACAGCGCTTCACCCTCAGGGAGCTCCACCACCAACTGTGAGTCGGTTGAAGCAGTAAAAACTCATTACATTAACTACATTTTAGTTAACTTCTTCAGTGTTTTTGTGTGGTAATGATTATTTAATAGTGATTAAGGGTTCTGGTTGCGTCCCGTTAGTCTCCCTGGACCGCGGCCGGGCCGTCTTGGACAACAGCGAGAGGGAGCTGCTGAAGGAAATCAGGGAGCTGCGACAGAAGCTGGCAGCGCGAGCCAGACAGTCCACCTCGTCCTCCTCACCGTCTGTGCCCACGCCGTCCTCTGTGTCCTAGTGACCACCAGCCGCCTTCTGTCGTCTGGCCCGTTCACGGAGACATATTCTGAACCTAAGCTCACTGCAGAAAAACACAAACAGTGACTCAGAGCGCGGAGCGTGCCGACTGGCTGCTGCGTGTTTACCAACCATCTGCCCTTCCATCTCTGACAGGTTATGGGTTTACTTTACGCAGATGAACTCATGCATGAGAAGATTCTCTAACAACATCATTGGGCGTGGTTAGAAGTTTAATTTATTCCAGTTCTGGGAAGCATTTTGTGATCAAACGATAAAATGCGTCTCCCTGCATCTTTCACGGTCTTTGTTGAAGCTCTTGCTGGTTTTTTGCTGACTATGGACTTTTCAAAGAGCAAACCGTCCAGATGGATCAAGTTGAGCAGCGTCAGATTGGTGCTGTGTTTGAATTTAGGATTTCCACTTCCTACTCACCAGAGCGTCTCCTCACTCTCGACTTCTCTGGTATTTTCTGTACTTGTGAGCTCAGTGTGCGTAATGTGCAGACTGAAACCCTCTGACAAGGAAGGAGCAACGATTTTAAGCAGGAGTATAATTTAGGGGCACAGTGAGCACTCTGCCTTCAGATTTCTGCTGCAGTGAACTGTATAGTATGAACTCTTGCAGCCATTGTAACCAGAAGAACAAATAAGTGGACGTAACTACTATGGTTTAGTTATTTTTATATTTTCTTTGGTAAGAGCACCAGTGCTTTCATTTGATATTTTATTCTTTGTATTATATCGAAGATGTTTTTTTATATTTGTCTCATTTAAAGTCATTTTTGATAAAGACGCCAGTATTCTCTCTTTTTTACTTTTGATTCCCATACATCTCATCTTGACACGTTTTATAATTATTTACTCACATTTTACCTAAAATATGCCACCTGAGCATTTTTCAAAAGCGGCCACTGAGTGACCAAAGCATCCTCCTTTTGGCGGCGCAGTGAAAAGCTACAATTATCCACTGAAGTAGTTGCAAAGACTCGTGTTTAACTTTTAAACCTGACAGGTGGCGTCAATGCAAAGCAAAACCAAACCAGAAAAACCTCCAAAAAGGGTAAAAAAAAAAAAAAAAAAAAACGGCATTGAAGACAGAGGCGAAAACACATGCCTGTCAGCTGGAGATCTGCTTAAATGTGTCATCATCAGTGTGAGAAACGGCCTTCGCTCGGCTTTTGTGTCTCTGCTCCTAATCCCCGTCTGGGTGTGTTTACCATTGAGCCAAAAGCCAATCAGCCGTTCTTTGACAGGAGCCGAAGTGACAGCCGTCTTCATTCCTGTCACTCATTCGTGTCCAATCCGGCTTGTATCTGCGCTCATCAAGCTGTTTCAGGCCCGGGAACAAAACCACACGTCTGCTGTGCTGATCTGTCAACCGCATTAGTAGACACTCATGAATGTTTTTCTACTGCTTGTAAGAAAACGGTCAGTAGTGCGTTTCTGTCATTTAATTACACATAGACATACATTCCTCTCTATTCTTTTTTTTTTTTTAAACTTCACATACATAATATCATCCTGAACTGTTTTGGAACCTTGAAAGAGCGCGCATGCTTCCTGAACCCCACAAAACTTTAATATATTACATTATTAATGTGATTGAGCAACAAAAAGCACCACATCACTATGACGTTGTGCAGCTGTTATGAAGGCTTTAGGTGTTTGGTTTTTTTTTAGAAAACAAATCACAAAAAAAACAAGGAACACAGCAGACAGGCCAGAAGAATGTAAATTTGAAAACAGTTGATTTATGAAACAATTTCCCAATTATTAACCATCTCATGTAAAAATAAATAATAAAAATAGTTCAATATATTATCCAAAATTGGAAAGAGTGACACAGCTGCAAATCTACAGATCAGGGAGGCAAAAAGAAAAAAAAACTCCAGAAAACTATTAGTCCACACTTGTTTTTTTGTTTTGTTTTTTTCATTATTGCCTCAAATAATTAAAGTCCTTATCTAAATCCAAGTGAGAATCTTTCAGCTTGTGAAGAAAAACTAGCAAAATGTCATTATTGCAACAGCACAATAATCATTACAATGTTTACCATCAAATGGTAATTATAGGAATGATTACTTGTGATCTGGCACTTAAAAGTTGAGCAAGGTGAACAGCTGTGCAAAGTCCTGCATAACAAACTCACCTGTCGCATCTCATCTTGTGGAGGAAATCACCTGGGCTCTCAGCAGAGGCGGGCCTGCCTCCTCCTGTCTTTCCGCATCAGTGGTTCTCCCACACAGCTGCAGCAGAACCCCTGATCCAGACTTTCAGAACCAGAGCCGCTCCAGTCAGAAAAGCCTCGATTAAAGTTCTTCTACCATGGACGGATGCAGCGGCCTCCTTGTTTCGCCGTGCAGAAGGCCCGGGCCGGTGGGGAAGGTGAGGCGGCGGGTTCAGGGCCTCCGGATCCCCTCCTCCTCTCGTCACTGCGCCCGCGCGGTCGGCGGAACCGAGCCGGACCTGAGCCACAACGAGAGCGCTCGGCTGGCGGCCGACTGTCTGCTGTCCCAGGGCCTGGACGGATACCGCCAGGTGCTGCAGGCTGAGGGGGAGGTGGACTTCCTGTCAGAGCTGGAGAAGCTTTACGTCCTGCAGAACGGGAGGGACGCAAACACAGGTCGGGTGATTTCCTCAGTTCTTTGTTTTTTTATTAATTATTTTTGTAATTTCAGGGTTTTTTTTTTCTTTTGCTGTCTTGTGTCGTTAGCAGATGACGCAGGTGAAACAGATGACATGGACAAGGAGTTTGTCAACCTGTTTTCCCAATGCGAGTCCCAGACGAGCAGCGACTCCGCAGTGGAGTGTTCGGTCCAGAAGATCGATCAAGGTACCGAACAATGTTGCTTCGCTGCAGTCATGTCTGCCTGAAAGGCTTCAGCCTCCAATCTCCGTCTCACCGGACGTGAAATTCTTCGCTTTCGGTGTCTGATGTGTCCCAGCAGGGCTGCAAAGCCGGTGATTAATGTACCGATTATTCGGACGATTAATCGTATAAGGAAAATTGGCACATTGTACAGATTTTTTATTTATATAAACAATATTAGAAATACGTTAAAATATAAAATATGAAAATATAAGAAAATATTTAGATTCCTTATTTAAGTAAGAAAATTAGTATTGATGCAACAACAAAAGTGAATTTAAACCGGGTGACACTAAAACTGCACCACGTGAGGAGTTTTGGATAAAACATATTCACAATAACTTTTTAAATGTTATTAATTACAGTTTAATTACAAAACTAATTAATTTAATTACAGCTCTGAATATGTAGGGATTTTTTTTCAGCATATTGCATTTTTTGAGTCTGTGTTCTGAAGTTAGCGATTACTCAATAACTAAATCAGCAGACGATTATTTCAGTTATCGATTCGACACGATTAATCGTTTCAGCCCCAGATCCCAGCCCTGAGGTGTTTCTCCAGGCTGACAGGACAGCGGCTGCCATGAAAGATCTGGTCAGACAGTTCCTCAGAAAGACTAAACTGGTACGATGGGAGGTGTGTCTGTGTGACATGGATCCCTGTTGCCACAGTTGACAGGCATGCGGGTGCGTGAATGTGTGTGTGTGTGTGTGTGTTCAGGCCCTGGCTATAGTGATGGACGTCTTCAGCGACCCGGAGCTGCTGTGTGATCTTCTCGAGGCGAGCAGGAAGAGAAACGTGTCTGTTCACCTCCTGCTGGACCACATTAACCTGGAGGAGTTTGTCAGCATGTGGCAGGAACTCAGACTCGTCAGCAGAAACTTCCCGGTCAGTATATTTAAAACGGGGGGGAGGGGGAAGAAGAAAAAAAGCTGCCGCATGTTTGTGATAGCTGGCGTGTGTTGGTGTGTACAGAAGGTGTCGGTGCGAAGCGTCCCGGGTCAGACCTACAGCGCAAAGACGGGCAGGAAGCTGACAGGTCAGATAGCGGAGAGTTTTATCATCGCCGACTGGGATGAGGTGCTGACTGGTACATACAGGTACGTCTACACACACACACACACACACACACACACACACACACACACACACACACACACACACACACACACTGCAAAAACACACCTATTTTCACCAAGTATTTGTGGTCTAGTTTCTAGTGCAAATATCTTAGGACACTTTAAGCAAGACGAAAACTAACTTAACAAGTAACTTTTCAGCTTGATGTCGGAGCTAATCTGGAAGATTTTTCCCTTGTAACACGGGAAAAATGTCTTCTTATAAGTGAGCTTTGGACCATGTTATAATGTCGTTCCTCATCAAAAGCATACCTGGAGTGTTGCCTTGACTCTTTTATTCATGTCTGAGGAATCCTTGAATCTCCTGTGGGAAACATTCGGCTGTGCCAAACGCCTTGGTGCACCGAGCGACTTTCCAAGCTTCCGCTTCACAGAGCAGCCCTCGATTTACTTGATTGTGCTATAAAATAGCATTATGTGTCTGGAAAAGACAAAATAGTGTAAGATATTTACACTAGAAACTAGGCAAAAGGACTTGGTAATATTTGGTGTCTTTGCAGCATACTGCTTCCAGAAACGTTTTCTATTTCTCTATTAATTCTTCTTCTATTATTGTAAAACTCTTGCTTTTGGTGTCTCCCTCAGTTTCACATGGCTGTCCAGTATGGTCCATCAGAGTCTTCTGGTCCTCATTAAAGGCGCCTCGGTCTCACATTTCCATCAGGAGTTCCTCAGACTTCACTCCAGCTCTAAGCCGGTCCCTGGCTTTGTCACTTTCATCTCTCTGCCACGGTGTCTTTGCTTTTACTCTGGATCTCATGTGCATCCAGACAGCTGTATCTGGAAACCCCACAAGACCGTCACAGCAGCATGTTCACGTGGAGAGATTGGTCTACAGCCTCCTGAAAGCGATGAGCAGCTCAAAGAGAAAACATCTCCGCATCTACCTCTGAAGCCTCCGGCTCAAACGGCAGCAGAGAGCGGGACAGGAGCCAAGGCAGAGCTGCAGAATCAGAACCAGATTCGCTGTCACCCACACCTTCCCGATCAGACCCTCTCAGATGTTCAGCTTCACAGCATCACTGTGACGAAGAATGGCGAGGTCCAAGAGTCGCGCAATCTGAACGATCTGTCCCTGACGCACTGTTCACCGCAAAATGTTCACCGTCAGTCAGGCTTAAAGAAGCAAAACAGCCTCGCTCTCCCAGATGGGACCAGTGAAGGAGTTTCCTCTCAGCAAAGGAACAGAAACACGTCGACAGGGTTCACACCAGACATCCAAGCACAAAGAGACCAACTGGACTCCTCGCGAATTGTTCACGCAAAGGTGGAACTTCAGCGTGATGAACCTCAACTCCTGTCACCTCCGTCGTCACAGAAAACGGGACCAAACCTCAGCCGTCAGGTCTCTTTCAGGAGCTCCTGGGAGTACATGCCCAGCCTGCAACCCAACGCCTTCAGAGGAACCAGCAAGCAGGAAGGGTTCATGGAATGGCATCATGGCCGTCTGAACTCCTCCTCTCACACAGTGACCTCCTGCTTTACACGAGCACCGGCAGGAACAGGAACCGCTGTCGGTCCTCAGCAGCAGGCAGAGACCCAGAGGTTCCTGTCAGGCGTAAGGGGCACGATGCAACTGCATCCCGTCAGACTGCACTGGAGCCCACAGGCTGCGGCACCCAGAGCGGTGGGTCGCTACAACTCCTTCAGCGGTGCACATGAGATGGGGCGGGCAGGCTGGAGAACCCTGCAGAGCAGCAGCAGCGCATCACTGCGAAGGAGCCTGAGCCTGATGGAGAGAAGCCCAGCAGGATACAGAGGAGCAGGACTGCACCCTGTATGAATGCATCCACGGTTTTGATCAAAAGCCCATGCAGCAAGAGCTCCACTGCAATGAGAGTCAGTCAGCGAACAAGAAGCAGACCAAAAACAAAGCAATGCAGAAATCTGAAATCAAAGAGAAATTGTATGTAATTTTCAAAATTCAATAAGAAATGTAAGGGGTAAAAACAGAGAAAATGCTGCATTTCTTTTTTGCCCCTTTACTTTGATACCACTAGATAAAATCTATTGTAACCAATGGTCTTTGGACATCCGCCAAAGACCATTGGTTGCATTCTTCATTCTCATGATGAAACATGGTAGTGGCAGAATCATGCTTTCTGTGACAGCAACAAGGAAGCTGGTTAGAGTTGATAGGAAGATTATTTTTAGACAGAATGATTGGCAGAAAAACAAAGTCCATCTCCAGACATTCAATGAACTGACTGAAGGGAAGCAATACAAAATGTCTGCCAGACTGCCAAACAAATTTTTAATTAGAAAAAAAAAAAACATTATTTAGGTTCCACTTCATTTTATTTTGTGTCAGACTGTCACATAAAACCTTGAAGAGAATAAGCTTACAGCAAGAAAAAACTGGGAAAACGTGAGTGGAAATGAACTGATTTGCAAAGCTCTGCTTTTCTGGTTCAGCTATTGTCTTTTGAAATTGACAGATTGTCTGATTCTGTCAGTTCCAGTGACTTTGAATGGCCTTTCTGGTCTGTTATAAACATGAGTTGGTTTTCCTACTAAAAATATTCTGCTGCGTTGAGTTTTTTCTCTTCAATACTAAATATTGAATAACCTGCCAGGCTGTAGTTCCTCGTCTCATCTAGTGTTTGTGAGGACAAACCGGATTAAATCCAATCCAGTTCGGTTTATGTATAAATGTCATCTGAAGGCGCCTCACAGAGAAATGTCAAAGTTTGTCAAAAACATCTGAATTTTTTTCTTTTGGACCATTTTTGATTCTATTTTTTATGCATTATGCAACACTTGAATGTAGTATTTTAGACAAAATATGTTGTAAAAAAACCATTTATTAATTTGTAGAACAAAATTTTGAAGAAAAAAAGAAAAAAGACAGATAAAATATAAACAAAACTGTTCAGACAGCACAATATGTTGTACATGTAATACTTAACGGTACTCTTACTGGCAACACATTACTTATTCTTTGGTCAGCCAAAAAAAAAACAAACAATTAAATATACTGCAACAATGCTATATTTGTTTGAAGCATTTGATCTGAAATCCTCTGCCAGTTTGGTTGCGAACGTCGATTCCAGCAGCGTTAAGGTTTCGCCTGTGGTCCATTAATCTGTGACGCTCCGGCCAGTAAGACGCCGCTCCACCAGCGCTCTCTGAAGCTCTGCAAGCTCACCGAGGTCAGGCTCTCCCCGTCCTGGTAGTCCTCCCTCATCTTCTCTGGGATCAGGTCCTCCGACATCACCTGGATGATCACAGCAACAACAGACGGTTCTGGTTGAAGCAGACGCTAGACTCTCTGAGAACAAAGTGGAAACTCATCCCGCTCACCTCGGTGAGAGCCTGCAGCGTTGCTTCTTTGGGATTTAGTCGCTGTAGAGCCTCTTCTGTGATCTGGAGAGTCTTTTTGCTGCGATGCAACACAAAGGAGGACTGCTGCTGCCGCAGGATTTTCAACAAGAGCCTTTAAGAAAAAAAACCAAACAAAATAGGTGTATGATTTACACATAAACAAAAACCAAGGAAATCTGTCATTTTATGTCGCCTGCTGCTGCGTCGAGGAATGTTTAACTGCTACACAACAAAAGGCTTTGTTTTCAGGTTGTTTTTATGTGTTTAATGTAGGGCTGAACAATAAATCGATAACTATATTGTGACAGACATGGGATCAACATCAATAGATAATACTGGTAGATTATTCAATCATTTTGCTGAATTCCAATCCAGAACCGCACAGCATTCTGGGGGATGTAGGCAGAGCAAAGTCTTTGCCAGCTAAGCAAAATGGTTATGATCAGCTAACTCACTCACTCCGGTTATTTAGCAACAACCTGTTGATTAAGGTGCACAGCAGCATTTTCAGGTTTCCCCACCGTGCCTCACAAATGCGTAAAAATAAACGCTGTGGAATGAAAACCACGGCATTTAGCACAAAACTGATCAATGATGATCAATATCGACTGATACAAAATGCTTATCCTGTGATTTGTTTTTCAGCCATACCGTCCAGCCCTAAGTTAATGTTTCATTAGCTGGGTGTGATTTGGCCTATGTTAAAGCAGCAGCTCCATCAGAAAGCTTTACCGTGTTCTGATGAAACACATGCAAGCTCTCAGCCAGACCCGGTCCTCAGTGAGCTCTGCTGCCCCCTCCTGGTCCTCCTCAGACTCTCCATTCACAGCCTCTGATGAGCGTCCTTGGTCACAGAAGCACATAGTCTGTACATATATAATGAACTAAAGACATGCAGATAAAAAAATATTTTATTGTACCCAAGTCCGAGTCGCAGTCCAGCAGCCGTAAACACGTCTGGCCCAGGTTGAACCAGTGCCAGGGGTTAAAGGGCAGCAGGCTGCACAGCTGCTGCAGGCAGGACATCTGAGGCCCCACACAGCCAAAGTGCTGGTAGATGCTGACCTTTAGGATATGTTCAGATTTAAGGTTGGCATTCACACCAATCTGAATTATGAACAAAAAGGTTTTATTTGATACAGACTTTGAGCAGCAGGAGGCCGGTCAGGTGGCAGGTGTTGGAGGCTTCTTTGTTCTGCAGAAAGTGGACACAATGCGAGGGACGCTGTTAACGCAGGGGGTCATAAAGCATTCAGATTTAGAAATGTTTGATGCCTTCCAGAGTGTAGGAATTGTAGATGCGTGACGAAGCACATGAAATAATCTTTTAAAAATGTCTTTCGACCGACGAAGACAAGTCGATGTTTAATTTTCTCTATGGCCTGGAAGACATAACTACCGTAATTTAAAAGATAAAAAATAATAATAATCAGCTATGGTTTTCATCCAGTGAACTTATATTCAAACTTCTCCACATACAAAGTTCAAACTAGTCGATTTTTTTTATGCTCTGTCAAAAATGTATTGTGTTTTATTACGGTTCTCGACTTAAATCATCGAAACCAACCCCACGATCATTCAGAATTTTTTTTTGTTTTTTTTGTGTGCAGGTAATTTTAGATAAAAACCAGCAGGAAAAGAACTTCACCAGTAATTCAGCTAACTCCAGCGCCTGCTCCCTCTGTCCCAGCTTGGTGCAGCATCGAGCCATCCCCTCCAGGACGTCGCGCCTGATGGTCAGGTTGTTGTCTGCGATCCACTGCAGGCAGCTGCTGTAGGCATCCAGGGCTCTCTGAGCGAGGCGGCGTGAGACACAGAGAAAGTCAAGCAATGATTTGGCTTTAAACCTAAACAGGTGCTGGGTTTGATGGTGTCACTGCATGAAACGTGTGAAACATCTAAAGCTTGTAGGTGTGTGATTAAAGGATTGCAAACCATTTTGTCCTGGTTAAATGCAGAATATTTTTGTACATAAACACACAATTTCAATATTATGGAAATATCTCTCCTCTTTCTGTCATTCTGATCAAATGAGGGGCCAAAAAAAAAGGAAAATAAAGTTTTGGTAAATTCCTCATCAGTATGCTGTGTCACATTACATGCAGATCTTGTTGCAGTTCGGTTTTGCAAACTCTGCAGAGAAATTCACATTAGAGAGACAGAAAACGGCAGGACTCCAGTCACCTGGTAGCTCCCTCGTCTCAAAGCCAGGTCACCTCTGAACTTCAACACTTTCTGCTTCTCCAGGGAATCGTCCGTGTCCAGAGCGGCGCTCTCACAAAACCACTGCGAGCAGAAACAGGAGGACGTGACCGATACATTAAACTATAGGAAACAAAAATACACTAAAAAATAGGAGAACCACCATCTGTTTTTTCCGTATTTGTCCGAGCTCACCAGTCATTTTGATAGAGGGTTTTCTGATGCTAAATGTCAGCACACAGTTAATAATCATGATAGTCTCACCTCCGGTTCGCACAGTTTGGCCTTGTAAGGCGACAGAGACTCGCACACCCGCTGCCTGGCCTCTGAAAACACGGAGTCATCAAACGTGCTGCCGAGTATCTCCATCCAGATGCTCCAAATGCGTCAACTCAACTTCACCGGTTTGTTTTGCGACCGACAGCCACTCGGTCCGCCGTGAGAGGCTCCGATGGAAAACTATGATAACTCTATAGTTCCGGTCTTGTGCGAAGATCTGTTCCCCCTGCGACGGGAGCGCGCATTGCAGCCAGAGAGGCGGATGGATGTGGCGGATCTGAGCGATTTCTCGGTTATAAAAAAACATCAACAACTTATATAATCATGTCAAGGTTGTAACATTCTCAGTTTAACCGAAAGCTTTTTTTTTTTAAGAATCAATAATAAAATTTTAAAATAAATAAATAAGCGGGGTCTTCTTACGCTGATTTGTGTTGTTATTTTAAGAATCGGCCTTTTTCCAACTTTTGTCACTCAAGCCTGACAAATAAAAGCCAGTCAACAAACACAGTTTTCCAACATGTTGTGTGTATTTATAATTTTTCATTGCTGATATGAGAGGGTGGAAGCTGGCTGATAGCAGAAATGAAGACTTTCTGACAAAGATGAGAATGTAGATTGTCCATGGAGGGTTTGATGCTCCTCCATGGAGTCTGGGAGACTCCATTGAGTCTTTGTTTTTCCTATTTAAAATTCTAATTATTTCCCCCCCACCCCAAAAAAAAAAAAAAATTATTTGAGAAAAAAGAGCCAGCCACAGCTCACTTCTTTGAATTCGGAAAGCGAGGAAGTTATTTCACACCTTGTTTCGGACAGGTCCTTCCTAATGTCTGCTCAATATTTTGCTTGGTCATTCAGGATTTTAGTTTGATCCTGAAGATCCTCCAGTGTCTGAAAAAGCTTGTACATTTTAGGAATGAGAAGGACTCGTTCGCATCCTCCTGTATCGGTATGCAGGGGAGTCCTGGCAGGCCTTTGGGCTAGTGGTAGCCCTGGAAATTTGCAGCTGTTGGGAAACATGGCAAGTCTCCTGAAAAACAGGGATTTGGCATGTCTTGGGTCCAAGCAATGGGGGTAGAGTAGAGAGCAGGATACCCGTCAGGATGGGGATGGTGATTCCATTAAAAACTGCTCCAACATAGGTCAACATCCACATGACCACAGCTAGCTTTAGAGAATCCTCAAGGTCCTCAACCAAAAACAGGCGGCTCATCTGCTTCAGGGCTTGGTTGATGTGGGTCAGTCTGGTGTCCACGTGCCTGGATAGATGCGAAAGGTGATGGTGACACTGGTGAGCAGCAGAAGCAGGGATGGGCCGAACGCCACACCCGATTTCTTGGGGTCCCGCCGGTGGATCAGGTCATTAATGAGCTTCCTCAAAGCTCCTGGGTCAATTTGAGTTTTCTTCTTCTGAAGACCATTCTTCTTCCAGAATGAATGTTATTAGAGGAAACATCCATGTCTTTGGCGTCCATGCTGTCAAACTGGTCTTCAGGGACAATGTCTTCAAAGCCAAAGTGTTTCCATCTCCAGTCCTCTTCGCTTTCTACTAACACACCATCATCTTTCACGTCGTCTTTGGCGACAATGTCAAAACCAAAGTATTTAAATCTGTCTCTGCTCAAACGTCATCTTTAATCCTACATCCCAGAAACTTTCCTACAAGAAACCCGAAGCCCCAACCGATAGCAAAAATCATTTTGACTGCAGTTGAAATGGTTTCTAAAATCACTGTTTGAAATCGTCTCTCTACCATTAAAAAAGCAGTCAAAGCTGCCAAATCAGTTCTCTCAATGAGTGACTACAGTATTTCAAAAATTGCATAATTATTTCAATTATTTTGTGATGTTTGAAAAAAGAAAACATTTACTGTACTTCTCCATTTATTTTGATTAAACAACCTAATAAGCAATGATCATCAGCGGCCTTTCACAGCAAGCTTTAGTGCATTAAACATTATAAATATTACTATGACATAATACGTTTCACTCAAAGAAGGAAAATCAAACCAACCACCCAAAGGCAGAAATAAAAATGAACGTTTCAAACAGAGGGCCGTTCTGTCTGCGTCTGCCCAGCCAGGATTCTGATCCAATCTCTGATCTTCTCCTCGGTTTTTCAGGGATTCGTCACGACAGTCAGTCTTCACAATATGGAGGTTCTTGAAAAAGAAAATAAGTCTCTTCATGTAAATCCAGTCAACATAAAATACACCATGCACTTGGAGTAGTGATGGGAAATACATACAAATAATAATAATTAAAAACAGCTATTGATTAGCAGTGTTGCTATCAATGAGTGGCACCATGTTTCCGTGTGAACGTACCCAGCGGCGTGCCAGTGATGTTCACGTCACAAAGAACCATGGCTTGTTGTCCTTCTCTGATCACCTTCACGAAGCGCCCAATCACTGATTTGGGGAACTGGAAGACGTTTATCTGGCCTGCGGTGAAATTTGTGATGTTGTAGGCTCTGAGAAAAAGACGAAATACATCAGCTGACCAACATCAAAACCAGCTGAGCAACAATGAAACACCCGAACAATGATGCAGAAAAACCTAGAAAACCTTTTTTCAAGTGTTGGGGGTGGGACCTTTTCCCAATTGATTTTTTTTCTTTCACTGAACTGTCTAAAAATATGCTATATATTTAAATTTTTTTGACAATATTTACATTTTCTGAGACATTTATTTTTTACTATCTACAAGCCATAATTATAAATCAAAAGACATAACCACTTTAGAGTCCACTGGTGTAATGAATCTATATTTTTCCATTAGTTTCACTTTCTGAAATGACGAAAAATACAATTGTTTCGAACTGCACCTGCATGTTCTGTCATGTTAAAGCCTGAGCATGTAAACTGTAACACATCGAGGGAACACGAGGTTCTCACAGTTTGACGTTGTTCGGAGAGTTTCCTATGTAGATCTGGGCAGGCTTTAAGTTCAGACTGGAGCAGTTCTGGTTGTATATACAGACACAGGAAATGTTGTGAACGCCCAGCAGGTCAATGGTCCACCAGGAGCTAGAGTTGATCAGGGTGAGAGAACATGTGGAGCGATTCCCGTCAATGGCCTTGTCAGCGTTGGTTAGTCGGCTGTATTTATTAGCAAAGTTCGAAGACTGGGATGTCTTCTTGTCAGTCAGATCTATCACTGATTGGTTGCAGAAACCTACAAATAGAAAGAGTCGATCAGACATGTCCTTTCAAATTTTCATGACATGATTTAAAAAAAAACAAAAAAAACTTGATTTTTTTGGTCTCACCTGTTGTCTGCTGAGTTACATACAGACTTCCTATGAAGAATGGAAAAAGTGTCATTTTTAATGAATTAACAACTTTTAGTTAATAAGGACAAAATCCTTCTCTGGTTTTCTCTGTTTAGCTGTCTCATTTATATATTCACATGTTTTTGTCTGTCCTGTTGTGGACTTCGGCAAAGTACAAATGCTTTTTTAAAAACATTTTAAATGTAGAAATGTGATGGATGAAATGAGCAAGTCACCAATCAGTAGGACGGGTAACAGTCTCCACATCGTCTTAGATGGTTTCTGAATTTGTTCTTCGTACATGAATCACAGACGACTGAATGAGATACGAGGAAAAATAGTTATTTTGCACAAATATCTTTTCCATTATGAGTCCAAGAACGACTGTCTCATCTGGCCGTGTTGAATTCACTCACCTTTGGGATGACGTCAATCACTCTCTGCTGGTTTTATGACTCTCTCTCAGTCACACCTCAGCTTTCATTTGTCAGTGTTTCTAAGTTGGAGCGAAATGTTGTCCACTAGTCCAACCTGATCCAAATGTAGATATTTTACTTTGGAAGTATATTTAAAACCAAACGTTTGCATCTGATTTCCATAAGCCAAAAAAACTGTACGGCTGTTTGTGACTCGTCTGCCTTTTTCCATAAAGAAGAGATGTAAATGTGTCCTCGTTGGTTGACAAAGAGACTGTTTGAACAGTCTCTTTTTCATTTTTTTTTCTGAGATTATTTGTTTGATAGATGAGCCTTTGGTAGACTATATCTTTCCATCTGCAGCAGAGGTTCTCATATTTTTACATGTATCACCAAACCAACTTTAACTGATGATGATGGTAATTTCAGGCATTTTTAAAAGTGAGTGCTGACTTTGCTGTAGAAATCACAGTGAAAACAAGACATTTATAAAACTTTTGAGGATTTTAATCCCATTGAAACTTCCACATGCAGTTTTCTGCAAAAATGGAAGAGAAATCTTGAGCAACAAAGAGATTCATAGGGAGATTGTCATAGGAGGTTTTCTATGAAGCGCTTATCGTGGTTTATTGTAATGACGCTGATTCAAAGCCTCGCAGGCCGGATGCACCGTGACTGAGTCAGTGACTCGGTTTTTGACTGATTTAATAGCAGCTATTCTTCCTGCTAAGAGCATCACCACTGTGCAGCTGAGTTAGAGATTATTTATAGATCTGACGCTGGGAAAACAGTTTTCTGTTGTATTACATCACAGCGATGGCGAGAGAAAAAGACAGTGCCATTTTGAAGCTGAGCTCCAGTTGAGTGCAGCTCCTCACTCCTCCCTGCAGCTCCGCCTGCAGCAGACACCCATGTCAAACACACACACACATGCACACACACACACACACGCACACATGCACATACACATACACATTAATATTGTTCAGGTTTGATAAGGAAATCCTCTTCTGCTCCACTTTTGAGAGTTTAATGTTCAATTGAATCAATCAATCAATCAATCAAATTTTATTTGTATAGCACATTTCAGCAGCAAGGCATTTCAAAGTGCTTTACATCATAAACACAAGAACACAAAGTCATGCAACATATAATAGACAATTAATTGTTACATATTACATTTCAAATGAAACTCTAAACAGGTGTGTTTTTAATTGCGATTTAAAAGAAGTCAGGGTTTCCGCTCTTTTACAGTTGTCTGGAAGTTTGTTCCAAAGTTTTGGTGATGCTGAAAGCTGCTTCTCCTCTCTTGGTTCTGGTTCTGGGGATGCAGAGCAGACCAGAACCAGAAGACCTGAGAGGTCTGGAAGGTTGATACAACACCAGCAGATCTTTGATGTATTGTGGAGCTAAACTGTTCAGGGATTTATAAACTAACAAAGTATTTTAAAATCTATTCTTTGAGCTACAGGGAGCCAGTGGAGGGACTTTAAAACTGGTGTTATGTGCTCTATCTTCCTGGTTCTAGTGAGAACGCGAGCAGCAGCATTCTGGATCAGTTGCAGCTGTTTGATTGATTTGTTGGACAGGCCTGTGAAGATGCTGTTGCAATAATCAATGCGACTAAAGATAAACGCATGGATGAGTTTCTCTAGATCTGGCTGAGACATTAGTCCTCTAATCCTGGAGATGTTCTTCAGGTGATAGAAGGCCGACTTTGTTACTGTCTTTATGTGGCTCTGGAGGTTCAAGTCCGAGTCCATCACTACTCCCAGGTTTCGGGCCTGATCGCTAGGTTTTAGTTGTAATAACTGAAGCTGTGCATTGACTCTAGATAGTTCCGCTTTAGGTCCAAAAATAATGACTTCAGTTTTGTTTTTGTTCAGATGGAAAAAGTTTTGGCACATCCACACATTTATCTGTTCTAAACATTTATTCAGTGATTGGATGGGTTCAGAGTCACCTGGTGACATCGTAATGTAGAGCTGTGTGTCATCCGCATAGTTGTGGTAGCTAATATTATTTCCTGTTATGACCTGAGCTAGTGGGAGAATATAAATATTAAATAAGAGGGGTCCTAGGATTGAACCTTGGGGTACCCCACATGTGACCTTTGACCTCTTTGATAAGAAGTTTTCAATTGAAACAAAGAAATCCCTGTTCTTTATGTAAGATTCAGTGATTGGCCCAGTAAACATTTGGGCCCAAAAAAAAAAAAATTCTACTGGAGGAATTCAAGTGAATGGGAGAAAGATGGCTGCACACGGTGCTCACGAGAAAGTTTTATTTGTTTTTTCTTCAATGTTCTTTTTATTTTTTTGCATTCATTATGGTATCGGGAGTCACTCTCAGTCCTTGTGAAAGTTCAGATTACATAATTTACACAGTAAGCCCATCAGAATAAACCTTCATAGAGGCAAATAAGGTGATGAACAAAGACATCTGGAATGACGTTAGAGTTTAAGTGAGCTCTTCATCAGAGCTGCTGTTGAAGAACTCAACTTTTTACAGAGACTCTCTCTCTACACCAAAATAAACATGTAAACATGTTTCTATGGAGAACATTGTTGTTACTGCCTTATATTCTTGTTTCACTTATGAAAATCAGATGCAGAAAACTGACTTCTGCAGAAACAACTTCAAATTTGCATCAGGGTTTATCCTAATCTTAAATAAATGTTGAGGTGTGGCTGGCAGAGAGCATCAGATGTACACTGGCTGAGAGTGAGCAACTTTCCTGCCAAGGTGAGTGGAGGGAATTTGAGCTAACGAGAAAATAATCAATCTGTACAAAAGATCTGTATTTTCTAATTTGAATGCAATTATTTGTAGTAAATTGATCATAAGTGATTTCACAAAACTAAGGACAAAATATTTATCTACTTAAGATGATGTGGAGTCTGCTAATCATCTTACTGATTGGTAAGTCATTTTATTTACTAAAACATCAACTTAATCTGGTACTAATGATCCAAACTATTATAAAGTTGTAAGCTAAGTGATCGCAAAAGTTAATGAGCTCACAGTAAAACACAACATATAACTACATGACAACACTAAAGAGTAGAACTGGTGTGAGAATGTTATGATTATTTCAAAATGAACATCAAGTTGGTCGATAAATAAAAACGTATGTCTCTGGCACTTCACAGGAAGGCTTCCTGGAACTGATCAAGCAGCAGGTGAGGCTGAGATAACATCGCTGAACTGTAGAAACTGAACTTTTGTAAATCATGGATGGCAAAAGTACAGATCAGATCTTCTCTTTCATCCCCAGATCTCTGCGACAGACAGAATATAAATCTGACTGACAAGAAAGCGTCTCAGTCTTCAACCTACACTGCTGCTAACATAGAGTTCTCTAGTGACAAAGCCTTTGATGGGGATCGCTCCTCATGCGCTCACACCCTGCAGAACATCAACTCCTGGTGGAGAATTGACCTGAATGCTGTTTACAACATTTCCTGTGTGTCTGTATTCAACCCAAATTATCTTAATACTAACATGTTAGGTGCTGAGATCTACATTGGGAACTCTCTACAGACCAATGACTCCAAGAACACACTGTAAGGTCTTCTTGTTTCCTTATTTGAAATTTGACATCTCAAAATAAAAAATAATAGTTTTAACGATAAATTTGATGCCATTTTGCCATGCTGTTGCTGCGTGATGCGTATCATGAATGTGCATCACGGCTCCACACCCAAAATGCAAATCTCCCGTTTCACCACATCCCAAAGGTTTTCTATGGGATGGAGATCTGGTGACTGTGGAGATCGTTCGAGTACAGTGAACTCATTGTTGTGTCCAAGGAACCAGTCTGACATTATTGGCGCTTTATGACATGGCGATTTATCCTGCTGGAAGTAGCCAGATGGATACACTGTGGTCATAAAGGGATGGAAATGCTCACTGCACATTCTTTCTTCCCCGTTGTGATGCTCGGTTTGAACTGCAGCAGATCGTCTTGGCCATGTCTACAGGCCTAAATGCATTGAGTTGCTGCCATGTGATTGGCTGATTCAACATTTACGTTAAAGTGCAGTTGGACGGGTGTACCTAATAAAGTGGCATATATGCAATAGTGTCAATACTTTGACAAATTCTGACAGTTCCAGAAAGCTCAAAATTTTCATTTTGATTTAATTTGATTTCTTCCCAATATGGAGTCATAACAAACTCTCTGCTTTCTTCCATTGGTTCCACCTTCTGCATCTCCATTTTCAATACCATTCAGTTGTATTCAATGTCATCTCAGCAATGTGTTTTTTTCTCTCCCTCTCATGCAGGGTTTTCAACATCACAAGCTTCCAAACAAATCAGATAAACGTCTTCAAATTTCCCACATCGGTGTCTGGGCGCTACGTCACTGTGATACGACCAGGCAACTTCTTCCTGGTTCTTTGTGAGGTGAACATCACTGGCACAGAGCTAGGTATGTTTCATTTAGTTCTCAGCCATAAATTAGGGCAAATAAGTGAATTAGAAGCTGGAGATGATTTGACACTTTCAAGTTTCTCCATTTATTACCAAAAATGTTTTGGTCTCAGTTTATGTCACATGTACTAACACAATATATAGATCATAGTTTATGTATTTGCACATGTTTTGTGTGTACTCATTTTCTCACTTTAAAGTGCTGCATTAACCTGTCTGAAATAGCTAAGGTTGGAGCTCTTCTTGATAGAAACAGTAGACCTTTATCAAGCTGGTTGGTTTTCTGCCAGATATTCTGACTTTCAGTAGACCTGAAGGTCGGCTGCTTTCGTTCTGATGTTGGAGCAACCAGCTGTGTCAAACTCTCTCCTCCAATGAACGGAGACTGGTTGGGTTGCTTGAGTACAACAGAGGCAGAAACAACAATCAGGCTAACATGGAAGTTAATGGAACTGCAGCTTCTCTAAATGCAGTGATGTAACCTAATCCTGTCCCAAATGTGTCCCATTTATTATTCTAATATGGACAAAATGGTAAATATTTTCATTTCCTCTCTTCCCCTTTCTTTACCAGTATCTCCCTTTAAGCTGATCGAAACAAACAAAACGTGGGAAGAAGCTCTGAACTACTGCAGGGAAAACCACACAGGTCTGGCCTCCATCTTGGATGAACGGATGCAGATGTTTGCTGAGCTGGAGGCTGAGAAAGCCAACAGTCCCTTTGTCTGGATCGGACTTCAGTACAACTGCAGGCTGGAGGCCTGGTTCTGGGTGGATGATTGTAAAGTCCAATATAATGAGTGTGACACCAATGGAGCCATGGAGACAGAAGGGCAGCATCGCTGGTTCAACAAGTCTCGTGATGAAAAGTTCAATTTCATCTGTGCATTGAATTAAAACTGCAGACAAATATTATTTACTGTCATGCAGAAAGAAAAGCTTCTGTCTCTGGTCTTCGTTCTTTGTGTTTGTGTGACGTGGACAGCTCCTCATCTCCTGATCCTTGAGATGTTCTCTCCTCTCTGGTTTTGCTGTTCCACTCTGAGATTCTTCCTCCTTCCTGGCTTCATTAGACAGAGCTCTGTTTGGGAGCAAACACTGTTAGGAAACTTTCATTTATATCATATATTATGCAAAACAACATCCCAGGAGCTGAGGATGATATAAAACAGCAACCACATGGTGCTGAAAACAAGAAATAATTCAGAACTTAATTGGACAATTTCATATCAAAATTTAAAACTTGCTTTGCTTTTTATAAATTCCTCTGTGTTACTGTTACCATTATTGATGCCTTATTATTGTTACATTACTATTATTATTATTAGATAATTTTTTCCCCTCTGTGCTTTTTTATTTTATTTTATTTGTTGTTATATAAAACAGATTAAGAACATTTTAAAGATGTACTTTGGCAAAGAGTTGGTAATTACTCTGATGTTGTCTGTCTGGTTGTTATTTACAATTATCATTATTATCATGATTATCATCCAGGGATTTTCTTGTCTTGTTAGGATAGTTAGTTTGTAACCAGCTTGTCTATTTAATGTAACTTATTTGTTGGTTTTTTAGCCCTGTATATTGAACAATCACATTAATATTATGAAATGGTTTTAATTACAAATGTTAATGATTATTGAATTGGTAAGTTCATTAAATTGAGGGAAGGGGCAGGACTGAATGAATGTTCACTTCTTCCCACTCCGTTTTGTTCAACAAATTATTTTGTTCTAGGTTATGTACGCACATGTTTCCTCTGTCTTACTGGTTGCTTGTTCTCTTGTTTGCAAAAAGTAAATGTAATGATAAAACATAATAAAGTAGGAAAATGTTTGAATGAAGCAGATTTGATTTGAATTCCTATTTATGACGTTGCAGCTTAAAATGACTGAATTTGCATCACCTTTTTTCAAAAAGTTGCAGATTTTCTTCAGCTTTATATTTGCAACATTATAGTCTGACAAAATAAAGTTGAAATTGCTCCACGTAACCTTTGCAACCCTTCTCTTTTCTCTCATCGATTTGTAATGCTCATTTAACCCAGGAAGGTCCTGCATCATCATCCTCCTGAAATACATTATCTCCCTGCAGCAGCTTTATGTTACTATCTCAGTTTGTCTGGAAGAAAACTCTAAAAGGTTTTTTAGCTCTGGCTTGTTGCTGAACATGATACATAAGATAAAATTAAGGCATTCTTTCACTATTCTTTCACAAGAATAGTTTTTTAAATATATATTTTGTATATTTGTGAATATATATTTGTATATTCACAAATATACAAAACAGCATTTGGGGCCCTGCCAGAGCCTATGAGGGAAATAGGCGGAAGGAGCAAGCCATGGGAGATTTAACCTGTGGAATATCCATCTATTCCTCAAACATGCATGAAAGAATCAAATAAACACTCCAGGTATGTTTCTGATGAGGGAATAACTTTATAACATAATATGAAGCTGAAAAAAACCCAGATTTTACATTTCAACCAGGATATAATAAATAAATCTGCCAGGGATGAGAACATAGTTAGTTTATCCAATAGTTCCTAAATTAACTAGTCAAATTTACATAGATCGCAAAAAATCTCAGAGATTAGACAAAAGGTCTACAATATAGAACAATATAGTAAAACAAACATGCTAAGTGATTCAACAACAAAAACATGATTTTGCAGTAAAAGTAAAGCAATGGTAACTCATAAGTCACAGCTCTTAGGTTAAAGCACAGATAAAATTAAACTTATCATGTTCAGACTTGCTAAACCACAAATGCTTTCCTTCTTTCTCCATGGCTCCACTGGTGTCACAGTTTTTATTTGGTTCGTTGGGACCCCAGTGTTTAAACTCTACGGCACTGTCATCGACCCAGAACCAAAAGTCCAGCGTATCAGCGTAGTGAAGTCCGATCCAGACGAAGGGACTGTTGGCTTTCTCAGCCTCCAGCACAGCAAACGTCTGCATGTGTTCATCCAAGATGGAGGCCAGATCTGTGTGGTTTTCCCTGCAGTAGTTCAGAGCTTCTTCCCACGTCTTGTTTTGGTTAATCAGTCGAAAAGGTGAAACTTAAAAAAGAAAATTAATTAAAGTCAAGCACAGCCAGTGAAATGCAATAAAATTACCACATTGAATCCTATCAGTGATGTTATGCAGCATCATGTAAATGTTACAGTAACTCAATATATCTGAACTAGTCAACATCTTGACAGTTCCTCTGGAAGCTGAAATTATCACAACATATCATGTGGTGTTTTGATGGTGAAAGTTAATGAACATGGATCACGTACCCATTTTTGTTCCAGTGATTTTCACTTCACACAGAGCCATGTATTTTTCTTCTGGTATGATCACAGTGACATATCGCCCCAACACTGATGGAGGAAACCAATAGACATTGAGCTGGCCAGTTTTGAAGTTTGTCATAGTTTGGACCCTGGATAAGAGAGAGATAATGAAACCTATTGTTAACATGACAAAATAAACTAATCAATATAAATGAAATAGAAACTGGACATCAGATGTAACTTCATATTTATCCCAATGAAAATGCATTTGGTTATTGGATGCTGATCCTTTGAATCTGACCTTGACTGAGTGTTGACTTATTTCACTCACTTCTATTATTTGTAATGGAAATTCAGCCAATGCTGCCTGCTGTCCTTTTTTTTCTTTTCAGCTTTTCAATTGTTTTTTTTCTTTGTGAAGGTGTACCAACTGTTTTTCTTTGCTTTGTTTGTATGTCCCATGTTTCTGTTTTCGGGTGACTTTGCTCAAGATTAGCACTCACATATTTAGCCCTACATATCTGAGACTTTATCCTGCTTGTAGTGTTATGTTAGGTTTAGATTGCATGTTTTCTGCAGTGAATCAATTGCATCATGCAGGTTTTCAGTGAACTATTTTAGGGTTTTTCTGTCTGAACTGGTGATTTAAATCAGGTCGAATGTTAGAGGATTAACAACAGATGAATACATTTAATGGGAAACAATAAATATTGTTAATCTACTTTATTCTCATTGCTGATTTTCACTTTCTGGCTCTTCGGATCATAACAACCAAATGATTAAATATGTATTTTGAAGATCAGCAACATAATGATTGCATTGAATGAAACACATGAAAAAGCCTTAAAATGTAAATTAAATTAGTTTTAAGGTAACATGAAACTCTTACAGCTTGTTATTGGTGAAGGGTTCCTGACGAGAGTTCCCGATGTAGATCTTGGCACCTGATATGTCCGCATAGCTAGCTAAATGGTAATAGCCACGATTCCAAATAGAGATACAGGTGATGTTGTAAACATCCTGCAGGTCTACAGTCCACCAGGAGTTAGCCTGCTTCAGGGTGTAAGAACATGTTGATTGATCCCCATCAAAGGCTCTGTCAGCACGGTACTCTGTTAGTAACCCATCGTAGGTTGTAGATTGGTATGCTGTCTTGTCAGTCAGCTTAATGTTTGGTGTGTTGCAGTTTTCTGTGGATGAACCTTTCAAAATACAGAAAAGTCACATAAAAAGTTAAACATTAAATGGATATCAAAGAAAAACACATTGGACCTACTTGTGACCTCATGTGCACACAGCCTACATGCAGAGAAAAATTAGGGGGAAAAATCTGTTTTACAGTGGAAAATGTCAGAACCATTTTCAGATTGAATTGTTATTAAACTTCAACCCTAAAATTAAACTCTCATTATGATGTGTGACATTATTTTTTTCTGTGTGGTAAAGTAGAATGTCACTGATAATAAACTAAACTCTCCATAGAGTTTAGTTCATTTTAATATTTGTAACATTAAAACATCAAACTATAAAGCAAATGAGCAGCTTACCAGTCAGACAGATGAAGAACAGAATCCACAGCATCTTTGGAGGACAAATACACAAAAATGACTTTTTGTTCACTAAACTGAGTTCAGATCAGAGGATGTTCCCTGATGCCTCCTCCTCTACAAATAAGTAAAAGACGAGTCAGTTTGGGTTGATGTAGCTTCAGGATGTTTCTCTCTCTAAGCTCATATAGATAAGATCCAGTTTCATGTTTACACCTAAATTTGAATAAGTTTCTCATCCTTCGCAATGAAGCGTTTCACAAACGTATAATATATTCCTCTCCATGGATACTGCTGCTTGTTTTTCTATCAATTTGCATTACGTCCTAATAACTGGGACAGACAGAGCTTGTGTGGGACAAAGTGAGACATGTCAACTCTAAAATGCAGGATTTAAGAAAAGAAATAATAATCATTAAATAAATGATCTACTATAATAAAACATTTGGACTTGCATGTAGAATCCACGTAATAACACAATAGTTAGGGAATACAGCAAAGACATTCACACACAGGACAGTTGAGCTTTTATTATACAGGAAGTAGAGAGAAAATTGGAGAAAAGATGTAGATATGATGTTAAAATTGGAAATCAGAGCCCAGACGGCTGCAACAAGGTCCCAACTTATTTGTCTCACTGAAACGTCTCAACTTATGAAAATATTCTAATATTATACTTAAGATTAAAAAAACAAACAAAAATAAACATGGCATTTGCATCCTCCTTCATCAAAACAAAAATAACTCAGTTCAGGTTTATGTCATAATAATCACACCAACCTCAGCAGATGGTTCTGGCTACAAGCTGATGCTCATAATAGAAACTTAAAGATGTTCCAAAGTTCAGTCAAATACAAACTTTTGCATCTTATTTCCATCAGCTCCCAAAAAAAGAGTAAGAAATGTGGCACTGTGCTTGTTTTGTTGTTGTGTCAAGAGATGCAAATACTTTGCTCTTTGCAGATGGATTGTATGAATAAAGACTTTCACTCACTGTGTTCTTCCTGTTTCTGAGTTATTACTTTTTGATCACATTTAAATATTCATCCATGATCTTAGATGAGAGTCAAGAGACACCATGGACAACAAAGCAGAGCAACACAAAGACAAAAAGACAAACACACCCAATCAATCGATCAATCAACCCAATCAATCGATCAATCAATCGATCGATCAATCAACCTGACAGTCCAGTGTTTAGATGGTGAGAGGAAACATGGAGAGAACCTTCGCATTCACACAGAGAACATGTAAACTCCATGCAGAAAGACTCCAGGCTGGGAATCGAACCCAGAACCTTCTTGCTTCTTGCAGCCCCACATGTAAACAGATCCACTTTGTAGACAGATATGGAGAAATATGTGAATGAAAGCAGTTTAATGGTATTTAATTTGATCAAAGAGAACTTTAAAGAACTGAACCCAGGTTCTAATTCTACATGATAACATTAGTCATTTATTTATATAAATAGACCTGGATTCCTGGTTATTAAAACTCAGGAGGAGATTTTATTCTGAAGGTTGTAACACAGAACATTAATTTATAAAGAGCATCTGTGGAGCTCTTAGTAGAAACCAACTGTCCGATGAAACAACCACTAGAGGGAGCCAGAGGACATGTCTAATTTTTTATTCAGATTTGCAGGCTCCTGTATTCTTTCCAGATTATAATGATGATAATTAAATTCAAGCTTTGTACTTAACAAGACATTACAATTAAGTCCAAATGTATTCATAACATTGGCCAATTTATATTCTAAATGATTTTCATTCATACCAAAAGGCTGGTTTCTAATAGAAAACCACACAAACATCTCTTATAAGGTAGAAATGAAAAAATGGAGCACAAAAAATTGCCTATAAAACTTCATTTCTCAGTAATCAATAGAGTAAAAGTTAGACAGCGCTGTGGTTGGCTTTATAAACGTAAAATGTGATGTTGTGCTGCAAATATTAATTTAATAACTGAGATTAACCTGAATCTTTGCATCTGATTTGATTCTAATGTTTTGATTCTATTCCAAGAAATGTTATCTATGTCCTCTGGTTTCACGGAAAACTTATCCGCAATAAGCTTTTCATCCTCACCTTTGTTCTTCTATCTGTTCAGGCTTTTAGAAGACTGGATGTTAAAATCTCTTTTTCTGTTGCTGTATTTTCCAAGAAACCAAATTAATTTTAAACCTAAATCTGCTGCGGGAATGCATAAGTTTAGGATTCACTAATATGACTTGATTGATTTCATATACTTCTATATATAAATTGCAGGTTTAAGTTCAAAGTGCAATAAAATGATGAACTGAATCAAGGTTAGAAGCAAACTGAAAAGGTTAAAGAGCAAACAGAGAAAGAAAACAGCACCCAAAATGGTTTTAAAAAGACATTTTACTTTGTTTGTACATCGTTGACCCTCTGACAGGATGGACCCTTGGTTCGTCTAAACATGACTGATTGCAGTGAGGATCGTTCCACCATCTAGCCGACTAAATAAAACAAGTGAAGACTACAGCAGAAGTACAGTAAAGGGTACAGATATGACACAGCAGGTAAACAATTCGGATCACAATGTTCGCTCTCAGATCATCAGCACAAAGTTAACTGGGATACAAGATGCGGGCCGGGGACAGAATCACCACGCCGTGAACAAATATGGCACCTGGACAGACCAAATGTTGCAGGAGTCAGTCTGTTCAACATCTATTCACTGAATGTCTATAGCGACGTGACGGCAATATTTTATGTATTTACAGAAACGGACACAGCCATTCGGAACAGATTATTATGAAAAGGAAATAGCACACGGTAAAACGGTGAGGGCTGGAGACCCGGGAGCAGGAGGCCGGACCTGTGGACTAAACCGCTCTCTGTCTGTGTGAACGTCTAGAGAGCCGAACACTTCTGAAGCGGTACCAGGTGTTTGTTGGCGTGACACGCGGCAGCTCCAAGTAGATAAATTTGTTCTGCTGTAAACTGTAATTCATAGCCTATTCTCACCGCAGGAACCTTTTACCTCTGCCGTTTCCACTGAGGGAACCAGGATGGAATCACATTACCAGAGTTGGAATTCACTCCAAAACGCCGCCCTGGTATAGAGGTAGCACTTCTTATTGTGTGTTCAGAACCAATTAGTCAAGTCACATGATGCAGCAAGTATGGAGACAGACGGCGGGTTGTAGCCTGCTGGAAAACGGCTGTAACCACTGCCATCTTCCTCTTTGCGCTTGCTTCTTGGCTAACAAAATGATTCACGGCAGCGAGTACACCAACACAGAGCGTGTACGTCTGTAAATAAGGAGAAAGCTGTGTTTTTATTTTGGCAGTCTCCATAGCAATGGCTCCGAATCCAGCTGGATCCTGCAGCTGGCAGAGCGCTAACATCTCAGCAGATTCTGTTCTCATGAAGATATTACTTTATCCATATCATCTGGACTGGATAAGAAAAAGCCGTTTTGCTTGTATATTCAATTTGAAAGTGAATATTTGCTGCTAATACTAAATGATACATGAGGAATCATTTATACATCTTTGCTTGCAAACATTCAAATCACTCTGTAAATCTAATCCTTCCACTTCAAGTCAGACTCCCGTCGTCTGCAGAAGCAAATACTCAGACAACGCTGTTGTCACCAGCTGGATCAGAAATGGACAAGAAGCTGAGCTCAGAGAGCTGGAGGACCAACGTGTGTCATGGTGCGCTAACAACCATCTCACCTTGAAATGTGGACAAAAAATGTGATGCCTGTGGATTTATAGAAAAACAGGAATATGTTCAAGGTCTTTACTTTATAAGTTTCCTGTGAAGAATGCAATCTTTGATGCCAACATCTGCTGGTGTAGCAGCATCAGAGCCAGGGACTTTAAACAGCTAAACAAGCCGACTCTGTTCTCCAAAACCTTGGAAAGTTGAATTATTTAAAAAAAAAAACAATATTTTGTTTAGGATTTATTAAGTATTTTCAAATTGAGTTAAATGTCACAATTTCTTTATTCCATTTTTGCCTCTGCTGCTGCTGTGAGTCGGTATCTGTATCCACCAATGAACAAATCTGAATCAGCGATTGAGTTTCTCTCAATAGCAAGTATTCCCTCTTTGTATATGGTACCAAATTAACCCTTGCTGTCGAAAGGCTTCGTTTACATCAACACAAAGCTTTTGGACTCGTCGCTGGAAACGCACTCAAGAAAAAGATAGAGGATATCTAAAAGGTTCCTGGAAAATACTGCAAGTACTCGGAGTAAACGGTTCAGGGTAACACAGTGGAAAGGTCCCTTTCTATGTTTTCAACAAAGAAGTTAACTTTGACCTTGAACAAATATCTCTAATCATGTTCGTGACATTTAGCCCATTGGTGAAGTCAACCTAATGAGAAAAATGTACCAGGTATTATTAAAACACAAAAGCAGCTCAGCCCTGTCCCAAGTCCACCAACCTCACATTTTGTATGTACAACATGAGATGTTTGTTCTGGCTGTCGCATGCAACATATGACAAAAGTACACTTCAACATTACAGGTTATTCATTTCATGGACAGGCACTTGTCACTGGACGACAAAATGCATAAAGTCAGCTCTCTGTCAGTTCCTAAAATCAAGATAAATTACAGCCAGCAGTCAAAAGTGTTCAACACGAGATCATATAAACGCTGTGAGGGAAACTGAACGTTTCCATGTCTGGTTGTGACAAGTGCCTGGCGACAAAATACAAGTAGCTTCAGCAAGCCACTTGTATTTAGTGGACTGTCTGAAATCCGTTTCAGGTTCCGGTCATCTTCTAATGTCGGAGGAAAGCAGAGTTTGAACATTATTTAGTCTGAAGAAAATGTCTTTAAGAAGGTTTTTTTTATTTATTTTTCACATTGAAAAGTTCATGAACTTGAGTTCAAACAAGTGTAGGAGCCATTTAGGCACGAAGGTTTAGCAACAAATAGTCATCGGAGTCGCCGAAGAACAGTAGTTGGGATAGCTTTTAGATCGTCGTACCGTTTCTTTTTAAAGCAGTAAACAGGGGCGTCGTTTGGTTGGATTTCCCCCAGAAAAGAGGAGGCCGTCCTGCTTCTTCATCACAACTCAGACCGTCCTCTTTGTTTACTGGAGCAGTTTTCAGTCTTTTGGTTTCTGGCTCCCCCAGCGTGTCAGTCGG